AATGTTGGTGTGCACAACCACGAAAGCAAAATAGAGAATCAATCTATACATGATGTATTATATATTTGGCAACTTGGAAACACATGTGTCACTTTTCCCATAAAACTGCGACAGCTACAGAGTTGAAGGTTTGCAAGTACCTGCATAACTCTTTATCTCCGTGGGGAGTAAACCCACTGCGCCACGGCCCTGTTTTGCTATTAAACCTTAAAAAAAGATAACAATGTCACTAAATTGGTCATTTAAGGGGGGGGGGGGTTACACCTGGAGGCTATCTCGCTTATTACTGGACCGAATTTTACCAAATGTCACACATATAACAAGCATAGTAGGGAGTCTTAAAATCCGCAATCAAATTTGAGAAAAAAGTTTAGTTTCCATGGATACGCCGCCATATTGGATCTTATTGACATGTCTTACGTAATGAATACCGCACTTATCGCTCAAGGAAATTGATTGTTTTTTTGCATGTGTGTTCACAAACATTAGATCTAAAAATTTGTTGTTGTTTTTTTTTTAAACGAATTAGAAAATTTTTAATGAATTTTTTTCTGAGGTAGCATTCAAGTTTGCGAAAAATCCGTGAAAATCCACACTCGTGACACCACCAACAAAAATCTATTCCATATACAAATATTTAGTATTACCTCTTCTCTTCATTCTGTGAACATTTCATGAAGATTGGATAAAAAATGGTGGAGTTATTCAAAAAAGTATAGAGAAAAGTCGCGTTTTGAGAAAACGGCCGATAAAGAAAAATAAAATACTGACTTTATGAGGAAATGGCGGTTACAAACATGCACGGTATGGGAAAAAATACGGTTTTTGGGGGTTCTTATGCGATGAAATAGTTGTAGGAAAAACCGAGGAAGCTAAAAATGCCTACAACTCAAATTCCATGATTTTGAGCCGAATTTTGACTTTGGGGGTGTAGCCCACCCCCCCCTTAATCAAAACAAATGAACCTATTGTGTATTGTGACAGTTCTTTATCTAATAAATGAAATCTCAATAAAAGAGACCTGTTTTCGGCAATTGCTGAAAAGTAATTTGACGTGGAAGTCGTAAAGGAAGGAATGTGCGCGAGCCGCAGTCAGCGACTCACCGGCATTAGTGATTCTGACCGCGAGCTGCTGTGAGCAGCTTGCCGGAGCTAAAAGATAAAGATAGATAGGTCCCCATGACGAAGCCCGATTGATTCATTTCCTAAATTTAGACAAATATAACAAACAGTTCCCCTCATTCTTTGGCCTTTGTGATTATTCCACTGAGAAATTAAATAAATCTGAATAGACCTAGCTGTCCTTCACAGCTAAAGTGCAAGAAATGATATTTCGCAAGGTGCATAATCTTTTGAGAATATAGATCTAAACCTTCAATTTCTTTTGCATCTCTCAAGACTTTTGTAAGTCATTCAACTTTGGCGACTATTTTCTCGCTCATTTTATCTCTGAAATCAGGCCACCCCCACCTACTTCATTTGCACAAATGTCGACTACTATTTAATATAAATTGCTATATTTTCATTGAAAAAATAAAAGTCATATGGGCAAACTTTTTTCTGCTATCAATAACTCGTGAAATGTACATTATTTCTTTTGACCGCCACTGCTGTTGTGACCAATTTATTGACTACGTTTTGTGTCGTCTCTACGTTTTTTTTGTGGGTTTTTAAAAATATAAAACAATAATATGTACTAAATAAAGATAGACTAAACGTTAATAAATTCCACTTTATTAATCTCCTTTAGAAATTTGTTTCCAATAGCGTAAATAAATACACAAGTACATCAATACATAAATGCATAATTACTAAACAAATACACAACAAACGTAGGCGATCCTCACGCCATTCATTGCTGATCGCCACTACACAACGACCTGTTTTGTTGTTGTTTCTTTGTTGCTTTGCTTTCTTTTTTTTCTGTTGTTTTTGTTTGTTTTTACTTTTGGTCAGTATTTTACTGCGCTTGCACCTACAAAAGGTCATATCAGCGTCCGGGACACATTACGCATTTTCAGTTTAGAAGGAATTAATTATGAATATTGCCCCCGGGGGCGGTTGAGCCTTGTTTTTCAGCTAGAGATTTCGAGCACATGATCTAAGTGACACTACCTAAACGCCGTGTCACTGACACACACTAAGACTTGACAATGTTAGCTTGATCTCAGTAACCAGTTTTGATATGTACAAAACAGCAGACACTCGCATTGCTTCGCTTCAGAACTCTTTTTGTCTAAAGTGCACCTTAACTATAGAGTGTACTTTGGACAAGAGAGTTCTGAAGCGACGATATCTTAACGATATCTTAACCCTATCCATACGTCGTGTTTTACTATCGTTTCCATACGACGTGGGTAACCCTGTGCCACCACTTAACCCTATCCGTACGTCGTGTTTTACTGTCGTATCAATATGACGTGGGGAACTCTGTGCCACCATTTTGCAAAGAGGAAATTTACTCGTTAATCCGATCCATCTGCTTTGCATAGCAGTCTGTAAAAATGATTTTTTGAGAAATACTGAAAGTTTCAAAGACATCTACGAGCTAGAAATATTCTAAAAAGTGAAGAATGCAACCCCGAGAGTACAAAATGACCCCAGGGCGTACGTATAGGCTTAAAAAGAAATGGCAAAACAATGGCTCAATTCTTTATTATATCATAACGCTACTTAGCGATCGAAAACTACAACTTTATAATATAAATTCCTACTCTCAAAATTATGACAAAAATAATATGGCCCCATCACGTTGTGGAGAATATTAAATGAAACCTTCGTTTGATACTTTCGTTTAAATTTTGAGGTGTGTAGAGTGTGTGGTTTCTTCTAAAAATGACGCAGAGGTCAGCGCCACTAGAAGTATTTGATAAATAGAAAGCACCTCCCTCCTCACCCCTTTTTACCCATTCACCACCCCAATCCCCCCCCCCCCCCCCACACACACACTTACCAATCATCTCCACTCACTCCATCCCTCCTACTTCAAAAACAAAAAAATTCACTCATCCCCCCCCCCTCCTCTTTTTGCTCCCACAAACACACACACACACACACTCACACAGTCTTTGCCATTCCATTCATTCCTTTTAATAGAACATGTATACTTACAGAAAATACGCTTTTGAAACAGCCAGAAAATACACCAAATTGTTGTACTGGAATAATAATAATAATATATAGCAAGAACATTTGGTATACATTGGATACATTAATATTATACATATATATATAGAGAGAGATTTTAACGAAACAAAGCGTCAGCTGTAACCTGTTGGTCAAGTACACTTGGGGGTTTCCCGTTTCCCTTACTCGCACAGCCGTGATCATAGACGTTAACCAAAGATGCTACACTACAAGATGGTTCCCTCAGCCAGAGATAGTACATAACAAGATTGTTCACTCAGCCCGAAATGGTCCGCGGAATTTCGCGCATTGCTTTAGATGGCGCTGCAGTCTTTGTTTTGAAGCTCTCTTTTGTTTCTAGAGAAGAAAAATAGGAATAGCACAGTCTGTAAATTTCACTTTTATTGTTTTTCATACAAGAAGAGTAAATCTGTTCGCAAAGTCCGCACTTTTTCGAAGATGGCGCCACCAAATTTTGAGGACATTTTTTAAATTAATTGGCTCAAAGAGAGGAGTGAACCATCTTGTTATAAAAAAAAAAGTTCGCGGTCGTTCAAGTTTTTCCTCAGAGGACGCTACAATCACTGTTTTGAGTCTCTCTTTCGTTTCTCGAGAAGAATTTGAAGAACAGGAATGGCACCCTCTTGTGCACGCAGATGGACTGCTGATCGTCTGTCAACGAAGGACGGTGCAGCGGTGGCGCCGATAAATTGAGCTCTAAAACGCCTATAAACGACTTTTACAATTTCGCGAGAGCTTCACTTTTTGTTACTTTAAAAAAAAAAACTAAGCCAGAAAATGTTCATACAGACTGCGGTGCGAGTATAGTCCTAACGTTACCCTGATATTATTATGTTCCCAATATCTCCACATTCAGCTTTTTGGGGGTTTGTTTGTTGTTGTATTTTGGTAGGGGGGGGGGGAGGGGGGGTTGCAGAGAGGATTTTGAGGATACTTTTTAAATAGGCTCAAAAAGAGGAGTGAACCACCTATCCTGTAATATACCATCTTTGATTTTTTAAGTGGAATAGGAACCCAATGGCTCATTCCTGGAGTATTTTATAACCATCTAGCAATCAAAATTCATTTTGTTTTATGAATTCTCAAGTCAAAATGATGAAAATCCATCTCCTTCATACTCTTTGGCAAATTGAATTCTGCCTTCGTTTAAATGTTGAGATCAAAAAGGTGCATGGTCTCTTCTAAAATTTGACACAAAAATGGTGTAACCTAAACTAAATTACCGGCATTTGGGAAGAAATAGCTGAGGACAGGAAAACAGGGAGGACAATGATAAAGGGAAGAACTACAATGCTAGAGAGCAGCCTTAGAAACAACCAGGCTGAGAAGCGCCAACGACGAAAGGAAAATAGCGGAAATACAGAGCTTCGACCAACCTCACTGACATGCACGTACTACGACAGAATCTGCGCTTCAAACAGGAAGAATTAGCTTTGAAAAAAAGCTGCTTGAAGACAACCTTGAGACCATCTTAAGCTAAACCTACCGTCAGTATAGAAGAAAAGAGCTATATATTACCCACCTTTTTGATTACCGGATAAAATGTTATCAGTTAAAGACAGTGACATCTCGGAGAAACAACAGGTCGTGGCCTCTGAAACTTGGCAGTGTGGGTACTTGGAGAAAAGTTAGATGTTACATCAGCCCTTGCCAACCAGGGAGATTTTGTACTTTCTGAGGGCGGGGGCAATCACCCGAGTAATGACAGGTGTTTTTTTAATTAATGGCCCCATTAAAAATACATGTACATGATAGGTACGAGAATTTTAACCTCTCAAAATATGTGGCAAAAGTGGACGAGGCTATAAAAGAGTTGACACGCCCTGTACAAAAACCGAATACACACACAGCTTTCACTCCTGTTTTTCCGAACTCTGTTTGCGACAAAACAATTTAGTGCAGAGAGAAACTGCCTGCTTTCTGTAGCTTGAATTGAAGACGAAGTAAATAAAAATGTTGAGAGATGCATTGATAATGATCAGCGTATCCCTCAGAAGCCGCACGACATTGGCGGCGTATGTGTCCATGGCGCTGTCGTCTATCATGACTGCCAGAGTGAGCAGGACGGTTGGCAGACTGCACACAGTGAACAAGGCGGCCACAAACATCACTGACTGTACCGCTCTCAGCTCTTTGCCGGAGAGTTTCAAGTCACGGCGTGATGGCTTCGAGTTGGTGCTTCTCGCCTCCGAGGCTGGCCTAGATCTAAATCTTGTCGTCTGCGCCAGTTTGACGATGAGGATAAACAGACATGTGATGATGACAACCTGGGAGACTGTGGGCTCCACTTGGAAAAGCAGGGCGGAAATGGTGTGTACAAACACCTCAGGTATAACATGTGGGGCCATGTTCACTATATAGGTCATGTTGAAGTAAGGGTCAAACACCTCCTCGAAGCCGATCGTCACGAATGTTGGTGAGTAACAGGCAATCACAGTTAGTAGAAGCACGAGTATGGTTGCCAGGACTTTTCTGCCGGTGAAGAGGAACTTGAATTTCAATGGCAGAGCGACGCAGCAGCATTTCAT